AACCTGTGACACGCGTGTCAGAGGTGACACGCGAACTCATTTTTTTTGGTTGATTTTTCTTTGTTAAATGGCATTTAAATATATAAAATAAATATCAAAAATATAAATCGTTGTTTTACTATGGTTGCAAATATCAAAAAATTTCTCTATGTGACACGGCACCAGAGTTAAGTTAGGGTTTTTCAAAATGCTGACACGCCGAGCTCAAAAGGTTCGCCATCACTGCTATAGTGCATTATCAATCACCCAGAGGCATCATTTCCTTTAACTAGTCAGAAGTCATTCCCACCCCTTTATTGAAGAGCTTCTTATTTTTCTCTTTCAATTGTATTCTCATACTTGCATATCAAATGATATAAGTCCCCAAATCACAAAGCACGCAATGTACATAGGGAGGCAGGTATAAAATTTTAGCATATCTATAGAGAAGGGAGTAGATTAACCAGCATTACTGACTTTTATAGAAGAGATAGTACATAGTAAACATTTTGTTCTGTGTGTTTGTGTGTATGGTTTAACCCAATAAACCCTTATTTCCTGCTTTTGTCAAGGGCCAATGGAGGTCAGCAGGGTGGCTCACCACCTGTGGCCAGCCATTCAGAAACCCCACCTCCCTCCCATTTTCAATGTATGGCTTTAAGGACTCTTTCACTAGTAAGAGAGATCTGGCTGGTGGCTGGAGAGACAGAGAGAGAGAAAGAGAGAGAGAGAGAGAGGAAAAGGCACCAATGTTTTTAACCACCTTGGCCTGGAGATAAAACTCATCACTTCCATTCATATTCCATTGATGAGAACTAGCTTTGTGGCTCCATCTAGATGTAAGGGGAATGGGAAATGTAGATTAGCTTTGTACTCAAGTAGATAAGTTTGAGAGCAGCTAGCTCATCTGCCACAGTCTCATTTGCAAAATGGGAGTAATCGCTTCTGCCCCATAAAATTGTGAGAGAAAATTTAGATAATTCATCAAAGTGCTTACTTAGCACAGTGCCTCCTGAGGCATAGCAAGTGGTTCAATATTTTTGACATTCCTAAACAAATTTTTGATTAGAACTAATACCTTTGTGGCATTCCATTCCTTAAAATCTATAATAGCTTCTCATTTTTTTTAAATAAAAAATTATTTACAAAGCCCTCTATCATCTGGCCCCTGCCTACATTCCCAGTCTCTCCTCTCCATTCCTCCTTCACCTACATGATCCAGTTTCTTTATTTTGGCCTTCTTCTGGTTCTCAGACCAACCTTTTTCCCCCACCGGGTCTGCAGTTCCCTCTGCTTGGAAAGCTTGTACACCAGCTCTTTATGTGGCTGGTTCATGCTCATCCTTCAGGTCTCAGCTCAGATATATCACCTCCTCAGAGAGGTCTGTCCTGACCATCCTACCCAAAGTAGCTTCCTCCAGCTATTTCCTATCTCATCCTCCCCCCATTTTTGTATCACAATCTGTCTTACTCATCTTTGTTTACTTGTTTATTATCTGTCTGTTCCATCACACCTGTTGGCTGCTTGAGGCCAGAGGCTTGCTTTGTTTATAACTTTATCCTCTGCAACTAGCAGTGGTTCTCAACCTTCCTAATGCCGCGACCCTTTAATACAGTTCCTCGTGTTGTGGTGACCCCCAACCATAAAATTATTTTCATTGCTACTTCATAACTGTAATTTCGCTACTGTTTTGAATCGTAATGTAAATATCTGATATGCAGGATGTATTTTCAGGGGTCGCGACCCACAGGTTGAGAACCGCTGATAGAGCTAAGCAAAACATCTAGTAGGTATGAAATAATTGGTGACCAACTGAATGAAGGAATGAACTCACTGAAGACAAATAGCTCTTCTCAGCTGGGTCTTTCACCTTAGCCTATCAACATGTACACATTTTCCTATCATTATTTCTGTACAACGTCCAGGTAGTGGCTCTAACTCTGTCTAGCCTTCCCTCTCAGCCAAGCTTCCTGAAAGCACAATCTATACCCAAGGCCATTTCCCTTTACTCCTGAACATATACTCTCGTCTAGCTTCTGCCCCGACCATCCCACAGAAACTATTCTTGTTTGAGGCCTTCCACTTACCAAATCCAATGCCTGCATCCTAGCCCCTACTCCACTTGTCTACTTGACACTGTTGAGTACTCCTCTCTTCCTGACACTCTTCTGCTTTGACTGCATACTCCTGTAGATACCTGTGTACAGTAGTGGTTATCAAACTGAGGGTAGTTTTGCTCCCACTGCCCGGGTGCGGGGTATTTAGCAATGTCTGGAGATATTTCTGGTTGTCAGAACTGAGAAGAAGGCTGCTAATGGCATCTAGTGGATAGAAGCCAGGGATGCTGCTAAACATTCTATAATGCAAAGGACAGCTTCCCATACCTCCAGGAAAGAATTATCTGGCCCAACCATAGCCGGTTTGGCTCAGTGGATAGAGCATCCACCTGCGGACTGAAAGGTCCAGGTTCCATTCTGGTTAAGGGCACAGGCCTGGGTTGCAGGCTCAATCCCCAATAGAGGACGTGCAGGAGGCAGCTGATTAATGATTCTATCTCATCATTGATACTTCTATCTCTCTCTCCCTCTCCCTTCCTCTCTGAAATCAATAAAAATATATTAAAGAAAAGAATTATCTGGCCCAAAATGTCAATAGTGCAAAGGCTGAGAAATCCTAATGCACAGTGTCCTGTAGACACTTCATGCACAACATGGACATGTTTAAATCATTACCTCCCCCCCCCCACTTACTCATTTTGTTATTCCTAATCTGATTAATAGCACTTAGTTTTATAAATCAGTATCTTGGGAATCATGTTTTATTTCCATTCTCTCTCTCCTTAGGCTCATCTATTAGTCCAGCGGTTCTCAACCTGTGGGTCGCGACCCCTTTGGCGGTCGAACGACCCTTTCACAGGGGTTGCCTAAGACCATCCTGCATATCAGATATTTACATTACAATTCATAATAGTAGCAACATTACAGTTATGAAGTAGCAACGAAAATAATTTTATGGATGGGTCACAACATGAGGAACTGTATTTAAAGGGCCAGAAGGTTGAGAACCATTGTATTAGTCACTAATTCCCTTTTGATGATATCTCCTAAATGTCTGTAATCCTTTCTCTTCCCTCAGTTATCACTGCCTTTGTATGAGTATAGACATCATTTAGTTTGTCAGTCTCCTAAACTGACTCCCCGTTTGAGTTGTATAAATGCCTCTAACTTATTCTCCTTGAATAATCTTTCTAAAATGGAAGGCCAATCACGTTTCTCCCTCTGCCTGTAAGTTAAAGGCTGAGCTTCCAGGTCTGGCTTCGGATGTTTACCATGTATTTTATTATCTACAAACCCTTGTTCTATTGTTTTTCTTCCTAATCTCCTTTTCTCCTAATAAAAACACAAGAAAACAAAATCAAAATCTTGATGTTTTACACTTCTGTGTATTGGACATGATGTTCCCCCTTTTTGAAATGCCCTCTGTACCACTACCCCCTCAAAGCCCCCCTGAAAATTTCCTCCATACTTTCTTGGGGCATTCATTATATACATCCCACCCCATCTCAGGTATAAAATTCCAGTTCAAAAATTGAAGTGCAACAAAGCAATACAATTTTATTTCACCTAGATTTTTAAAATTTGGATTTCCAGTCTATGAGTTGGGGAATACCAATAAGTTCATGATGCTCTCCTCTTGCCCCTGGGTTGTGGTTAAATTCTGGGGGAGCCTTCACAGTACCTAAATTTTAGAGAAGATGTAGGCACCCGCTTCTCATACCTTCAGATTTTGGGGTTCTCTTCTAAGTATTTGTCTTGCTTGTAGATATATGATTTTGCTTTTTATGGGGCCACGCTGGAGCTTGAGAATCTTTCTATGGCTTCCCCATACCACAGAATTATTCCCTCTCTGGCATCTTGCGACCTACCCCAGATTACCTGGCATGCAGATACAAGGTCCTTACATACAGCCAGGGTTATTCCCTTTCTTTTACTTTTGTTAATATTTTACTTCTGAAACATTTCCTGTCTTGTGAAATTTTTGCCTCAGAGGCATCTAATACATTTACTTAACGGGTTGAGACTTTTAATGGACTTAAGTGACAAACTAGTAAAAGCTAAAGACTTTCAAATTCTTTCAGCTAAGTTCTTTCCCATCCCTACCCTTATGGGAGGGTAGAAAATGGCCAGTAGCTCCTAAATCTAATAGCTCATTGGATGCACCCGAGGGCGCTTTTTAACTTGAAGATGTTCCTACCCCTAACTCTGCATAATCAACATTTGTTTTTTAAAACGATCACAGGAAAGTAAGCTCGAATATTCGAATCTCTCAATGGTGGGCCTGGGCAGGACTCGCTCAGTCTCCAACATTTTTTTTCACTAGCATGCCCGGCCTCCTTCCTCGCTGGCCGTGGCGCCGCGTTCCCCTTCCCGCAGGGTTCCTCTTTTCCTAGTTCTCCCTCTCCCGCCGCGCTCCTCCTCCCAGCCCCCCCCATCTC